CTTGTTCAAATTATTTCCCAAGGTTTGGAAAGGAATATTAACTCAGCTGCTGCTTCAGGCCAGCAACCCACTGTGATGGCGCGTTGGGGGGCCCCCGTCTCCTGCACCCTGAAAAGCCACAAAAGGCCAGTGGAATTGAGGGTGGTTTATTGCTCCTCCAGCCCAGCGCAGCACAGATGTAATCTGGTTACAGGAACTGGGGCTAAGAGGCCTCAGTGCCCCCTTGAGATGGGGGGATCCCAGCCCCCTCCCCAGTTCCTTCTTCCCTGCTTTCCAGCCAGGAACTAACTAACCCTCTTCCAGCCCTGCCCCCCAGCCAGGGCAGCATCCACCTTCCTTTGTTCCTCTCCATGGGGGTTAGTGGTCAGACAGGTTGAGAAATCCCTTTGCATAATGACTCATCCTGTTTTGCTGGGCCGTGGTACCAACTGCAGCCAGTGGGGGTTACCCCAGAGCCAGCAGCATAGAAACCAGCCAGGTACCCCCACTACGTCACACCCACTCCAAGGAAAAGGGGGTCAGGAAGAAACATCTCCTATGCTTATGCTTTTTTTTTTCCCATGGGCAGAGCTGCATACACAGCCGGGGCTGAGCAAGTCCAGTAATCCCGTGTTCTGTGGAGCGGGGTGTATCCTACACAGGTGACTGGAGAATTAGAGAGAGCTGGAGAGGTCAACTAACAAACAGCAGCTTCATTGATGATGAAGCTCAGCTGGGAAAGAGGTGGGGTGGGGTGGGGTAGACTATAAACAGAAAGGAGGCAGACAAAGAGGCAGGCAGGGTGTAGCAGAGCTGTTTACCAGCTTTTCAATTTTACTTTTCAATTTTATGGAGAAAGCGAATAAGGAAAAGTTATTTAGTTGCTCCCATCATATAAGAACTAGGAGCCACCAAATTAAATGAATAGACAGCAGATTTAAAACAAATAAAAGGAAGTTTTTCTTCATTCAGCACACAGTCAACCTGTGGAACTCCTTGCCAGAGGATGTTGTGCAGACCAGGAATTTAACAGTGGTAAAAAAAAAAATTAGATAAATTCATGGAGGTTAGCTCTATCAATACTTATGAGCCAGAATGGGTAGGGATGGTGTCCCTTAGTCTCTGTTTGTCAGGGGCTGGGATTGGGTGACAAGAGAGGGATCATTTGTTGATTCCCTGATTCTATTCACTCTCTCTGCGGCACCTGGCATTGGCCACTGTCGGCAGCCAGGACGCTGGGTTAGATGGATCTTTGGTCCGACCCAGTCTGGCCGCTCTTATGTTCTTCCATAGGCCGGTATGCTCCATTCTGTCTTCCATATTGTGTTGCCCCACCCCCTCATGAATTTGCAGCACGCGGTATAATCACATTTCATGCTCTCCCTGCTAATGGCCCTTTAAGCTGTGCCTCTCTCCCCCCCCCC